AAATAAATATAAGTTTATCACTAGAATTTCAATTTGCTTTTGATAATTTAAACGCTTAATAATAGAATATTAATAGGAAAATAATTCACACACACACATAAACTTTTAGTATGTTAATATCCATAAAAAAGCTTTTTATTTATTATTATTGTCTTGTACGTTAAATAATCTTAAAATCACTTTTTTAACATGATGAGAAGTTACATTTATGAAAGTGAAAAACTTCTGCGGAATGGTACATATAAATTTCTTTTATATATTGACTTTTGTTTTTTTCATTATCGAGATTTATTGATTCTTTTATAAAGATATTCTGTGTGTGTGTAATTGTACAATAATATATATTTTCTTTAAAGAGATCATTAATTCAAAATATATCAGAGAGAAAGAGAAAGAGAGAGTGAGAGAGAGGAAAGGAAAGAGGGAGATATGCATGTTTAAATTTGAGCGCAAGTAGTTTCAGACACATGTAATCAGACATAGGTTATTGACTTTGATATTGAACGTAGAGATGCTACGCTTATAAACAGTTACTTACATCGCCAGTTAGAACTATCTACAATATAAATTTGTAATAAAAGTTATGTAGAATATACCACGTATAATAGAATAATCTTAATTAAATTATAATAGTTTTTAATCCTATATTTTAAATACGCGTCACAAATTTCATTATGCGATTAATTGTTCTGCAATAATAGACAACTTTTCATATAGTATTGATTACATGATAAATTGCGCATGATGTTTAAAAATATTTTAGAACGAGATAAGTCTCTCCGTCCCTGACGTGGATGCTAATCATCTTGGCGAAGGGTGTCTGAAATTGTCGCCCCATAGCGCAGCTCCCAAGCTCAGTAACCCCTGCGATTCACCCTAACGGCTCGCTTAACCAAACAACCTTGATAAATTATGCAAAAATCAACAACACTACGAAATGCATCTCCCATGCTGTGGCTGGAACGACACGAGTTTTCTGTTACGGAATTCTAAATCTTTTCGTTCTTGTTCCGGAAACGCAGCGTGAGCATAATTTCGAATTCTACAACTCTGAATAAATTTTAATTAATTAAAAACGGAAATAATATTAAAAATAAATAACGGTTTAAATCTCGAATTTTGGGTGTAGGTATAATTAGTAGATATCTTTATAATTAGTCATTCTTTCTAGTCACACACACACACACATAAATTTATCAAAAATTAGGCGTTTGTCGAATAAAATTGTCATTTGTTCATAGGAAAAACGAGCGCGTTTTTGTACGTTGTACAAAACAGAGAGAGCAAAATTAGTTTACAGTTCTTTACAGGATATTCGCTACATTTTGCGCTGTATTTTATTAAAAAATTCTGACGGAACGTGATTTTATTACGGCACGCGTGGCAGCTGCATTTCGCGTTAGAGGCTTTCGTGTCATTCGTGTATCGACGCGCGTCCCGCAATGCGACGCGACGCGACCCGTCAAATCCGCGAACCAATAAATGAATATAACCCACGCGTGAGAATAAAATCCGTCGCTAAACTGCGCAACAGGTGTTAGAGGTTATTGACAATCTTTTCATCGGGATGACGGTGTTTGTGCGATATCTCGTCGAATATCGACACCGACGATGTCCCAGCGCACAAAGTCCGGCTCGATTCACTGTTTATTAAAGAGAGACAGATATCATTTTTTTCATATTCAATTCTTTTTCGCGCTCTACCAGTTTTGCATTTTTCTCTGAACTTGGGAGAAGGCTTGAAATTAGAATAATTCGACAACGTATGCTGACAAATATGTTGACTATTTTAATTTGTATCGATGCGTCAACTATATATATGTCGAGATTATTTAAAAGTATCATTTTTTATTAGTAACTTGAATCGAAATTTTTCTCCTACTTGAAGAGGAAGCTAAATTTCCAAATGGTTTTTAATGTTTCCGATCGATATCCGCGTTAATGTAAATTTAATTAATAAGACACAATTTAAATTTTTATACGCACGCAATATATTTTGATAATACACGATGATATAAATTTTGTGGCATAATTGTTTATGGAATAAATGTAAAACATATAAAATTGTTTATAAAATATACGCAAAAGAGAAATTATTTTCCTTTTGCTTACCAATAGAATGAAAAATGAATTTATTGAAATTATTTTTCAAGAAATATATTTTACGACCTCAAGATACGGCGACAGTTGACAAAAAGATACGAATCACTTTCTTGCAGTAATAAAAAAAGAACATAAGAAATTCAACGATATGCTGTGAAATGTTTTGCATGCGAGTATTGACGCACGCAATCTGCAGAAACCGTTATTTTCAATGCAATTCTCTAACATAAGTGCAAGTTGTTCGTGGCGAGAAAATGGAGTAGTATGTATCTTCAATCATACCGGTATTCCCGGCATCTCTCCCTCTCCATCGGAGAGACTGTTATCAATACCAGCGTCACGCTCTCGGCATTGTGTCGCGGTTTGGTACCGCCACGAGAAACAACGCGAACAACAACAACAAACAACAACAAACTAGCCCGCTATAAAGTCTGTCGCACACTGTCCGTAGCTACTACCTATCTACCTATCCGCGACCTGCTTTCTCGACATTGTCACCAGCCCATCTTCAGTTATCGCGCCGATTTATAGCCGTGACAGTTTCTATCTTGCCGCTATAGAAAAGACATATGATGAAACGTTGCAAAAGGTAGATTTCAAGTCAGACTTTAATACATCAAATACCTGAGCAATATATATAATTGCTATGATACTTGAATAATTACATATAAATATAAATATCGATAAAAATAATATAGAAAATTTTTGTAAGTTTAGTATCGTGATATTTCTGCTCATTTTACATTATAATTCATAACAATCAATTACAAATAATTATAACATATTTATGCACGTGTTTTATTTGCTATTTTTTAAGTATAATAAATCACTCTCATTATATATATAATTACAATCATAAATATTATATCATTTTTTTAAACATCTTTTGTGATTAATCGTGTACCGTAAATAATATTAAATTTAGATTTTATGATCAAAGAAAAGTAAATTACATTCTATGAAATCACATTAAGTAAACTGCAAAAGCTTTAATATTTTGGCGATCATAAAATTTTGGATAAGTATGTACAGCACCAATTTTAGAAAGATTTTGATTAATATTCGGTTACGTTACAAATAAAGGACGGACGCATCGAAACTATTCGGGGGCGCCTCAAGCAGGAGGGTGGGAAATTATGCTGAGCATGATGAATACATCAGAACAGGTCGGCTTTAGTCTGGTCTTAGGAGTAGGTCGAATCGATAACAATAACTACATGGACATCTATACTCCTATCACGTACGATGTCAGAGGTTCGTTTATGATGATGGGATTTTGTTAGCCTTATAGATGTAACATGTTCTAATTTGCAATATGTGATAAAAATGCGTGAAATATATAATATATAACTACAATTAAATTAAATTTATATTTATGAAGATATATTTTAATTAAATTGTTCAATGGAACAGAATACGCATAAAATAGACTCCTTCTAAAATAAATTTCAAAAATTATCGCAACTTGCGAGGACAATTTTTTACTGACTAGGATGTATGTATATAACGCATAGTTGATTATTTCGGGTTTTGCAATTAATAATAATTGAAATTAAATTGCTTATGGAAATCAGATTCAAAAATTAACTATAATATATGAATCTTAAAAGTGAAAAATTAAAAGTATAGAACTATATAAAAAATTGAGGAAGAAGAGAGGAAAATAAAATATACATAAATTAAACATTAATATGTGTGTGTATGCTTTATGAGGAGATAAAAAAGGAGACATTTTTTGTAGAAAGAATGAGCATCTTAATTTTTGATCCCGTATTAAATATATATTTTTAATTGTTATTTCATGAATCATAGAAATATCTGCCAATACCAATTTACTATTCCATTACTAAGTATTGCTATGAAACTTTTTATCGACAAAGATCAAGGAATGTATCGAAGAAAGTTGAGTTGTATCAAGAAAGAAATCAAATGTAATACACAAATTGGAAAACATAGTCCACATGACCAAGCGACACTCGCCAAAGTGCGCCACGGCGCAACCGACAGGACTGCCTCTCTCCGGAGAGTCGAGAAACACCCACGCCAAACGGAGCGAAAGAGAAAGGAAATGAAAGAGAAAAAGAGAGCCGTCTGAATGGAGATGGAAGATCAACCCGCGGGAGTACCGTGATAACGCGCGCGACGAGGACAACCCGGCCCTGGAGCGACGGAGAAGAGGTGGCCGTCAAGCGGAGGGAGATGCCACGATGGTCTTCGCAATGCGCCGACTCAGTAGCCGCGTGCTCACCGCGGCCGGAGGGTTTCGCGGCTAAGCGGTGCCGAGCGTCGCACAGTCGCGACGGCAGCCACCGGCGCGCGGTTATACCCCCTTTTCTTCAAACCTGCACACGCAACCCCGCACCGCTACGTACGGCGCACGTTTTGCCTGTCTCCACGACGGCGAAGGAACGTTGCCCCAGGTTGCGAGAGAAAGAGAGAGAGAGAGAGGGCGTCTTACGCGGCTGCCCGCCGCAACCCCCCTCTGGCATTCATCCCCCGGAGAAAGAGAGAGAGAGAGAGAGAGAGAGAGAAAGAAAGAGAAAGTGGGAGGGAGAGAGACAAAGGGAGGGAGGGAGAAAGAGAGAGAGAGAGCGGCGTCTTTGAGAATCGGTTGCTTCTTTTCATCGAAAGCGTCGTTCGATCCCGAGGGCCGGCATCGTTCTTCAACTTCGCGACGGTGCACGTGGCGCGCGCGGCACGCGGTGCTTCGAGAGAAAGACAGATATATAGGTAGACAGATAGGTGGATAGGTAGCAAGCAAAAGAAGTCGAGAAGGGTGAGAGGAAAACAGAGCAGGCGAGAGGAGAAGGAGAAAGAGAGCGAGAAAGGAAGAAAGAGAGAGAAATATAGTGGTACAGAGGAAGGAGAGAGAGGTGGAAAAAGGGGGAGAGACAAAGATCAAAAGGGGGTGGGCGGGAAGAGAGAGAGAGAGAGAGATAGAGAAGTAAAGAAACCGAGTACGCGAGAAGCTGCATCCCGGCGGTCAGAGGAAGTTATCACAGAGAGCTAAAGGGAGCTTCGTATCTTCCCTTTTGTTTTTTCTGTCAATCTTATCACGTAAAGAAGGACGGAGGAACCGACGGTCACGAGTGAGTTGGCGAGGAGGAAGCGGGACATGCTGGAACCACGCTGGAGACCCGTCCAGGTAGCCTTACTTGACACTCTGCAACACTTCTTCAATGCACTGCCTGCCTGCCTGCCTGCCTGCCTGCGAAGGCTCGTTTACATAATGCACCTGCGTCACATAAATATCCTCTACCTGTCTTTACTTCTCTCTCTCTCTCTCTCTCTCTTTTTCTAATGTTTCATCTATTTTATTGGATGCTATTTTGCTCTTTCTCTCTTTTTTTTTCATTCTTCATTCGGTTTTGCTGCGTATTTTTGTCACCAGCTTCGTTCTTGTTGTTCTTTGCATCCCGTTGTAGTCAGTGGTGACAGCCACGTGCCACCGGCGCCACCCTTCGCACTCCGCTGCTGGAATTTGGAGTAATCCTTTTAACGTTTTCTACTTAACGCGCACTGTCCTCTACGATTTAGCGACGGTATCTTTACTTCTATTTGACATATTAAAAACTTAATCGTGCGGAATATTTATGTCACGATTAACTTTTTTAATTTATGTTCTGGGAGATACAATTTTATCCACTGAAATAAATATTTTTTTTTTTGCTTAAACTGAAGAACATTGACGCCTGTAACTTCAAATTTATGCAGCACTCTTTTTTCATTAATATTATGCGTTTATTGTTTGTATGTTTGTACACATAAAATTTGGTATTTGACATAAAGTCCACTCTTTTTCTCTATCTTGCTACACATTCTATTGTGTGTGTGCGTGCATGTATGTGTGTATATATGTGACAAAGATTACAATTTTTTCTTATAATAATACAAATTTAAATAGTCTAAAATCATTGACATAATTTGATGAACAGTCATATTCTTCCGTACATTTAAAGATTTACTGTGTATTTTGAAATTTAGTGCTATCACTAAGTTTAGAATATCCATCGCGTGGCACGATTTCATCACTATTAATCTTATAAATTACGTTATAAATATGGACATCGCCGCGCGCGGGATTAAATAGAAATGTAAAAGTGCGGACGCGAAACCAGCGAATATTTCGCGCGATTTACTTTAATCGAATTTAGGTCGTGGCAAAAATAGAAAGGACGCAAATGGAGATTATAGTACGATACAAATTTTGAACCAATCGATCGCTTTCTTAAGAAACGCGCATTTGATGATATTTTATTTTTATTCAATGTTATTTCTTATTTAATCCAGTTTCTTTTTGACGGTTTCAAACATGCTTGTTTTTTTAAATTGCATATATATTTTAAAAATTATTGATTATATTGCATTTTATAATAATATTATATTAACGCGCGGTTTCTTTACTTCTCTCGTAATTAATTGCAATTAATAGTGGTAATTAATGTGCTGTTGCCAAAATTGTGGATACGAAAATAGAAACATTATCACGTTATCGCCAATAAGAGCTGCCAAGACAAAATGCTTTAGTCCATCCCTTCTGTACTGTTAAATGAATTAAATACGACGTTCGCATAATGCAGACGAATGCTCTTTGCTTCGAGATTTCCTGATTGATCCTGTACTCCATCGACCGGAGCGATATTCGTGGAAATGACACTTTAACGATCGTGACAAGACAAATAGGCGCGCCGGACAAGCAGAATGGTTGGTCAAATAAATCTCACTATACATCGGCCTAAGATTAACTACATTCGGGTTACTAAATATGTACCTGCGTCGGTACAGAAATCTTTGCGGTAAAGCGCGTTTTTCCGAAAATAATCTTGGCAGAGATGTGCCGCCTTTCAAGCTGCCTGGAGTCTCGAATAATCTAATATCATATGAATCACCGTGTTGTTGGCTGAGAAAGTCCAACGACTTGTTTCGAAACGCTTCTGACAACCTGACAAAAATTCCTATTTCGTGTTTCATCGTCTGTCACGCAACGCCTGCATGACGTTCACTGGGGTTTTGCTACCACGCGAGCAACTTCAAACAAAGTGATCAAATGGAGAGATCGGTAATCATTACTCACGTTTGTGAATTATGCTCGAACTACTTTGGAACGTGCGCTGGTTATATCGAAGTAGCGATCGTTTATAGTTTACAACCCCCGTTAAATCCATTTACAAGTTATAATAGTAAATTTGATAATATTGATGTATAAAATTAGTAACAATATTTAGAATGTTTCTCTGGGCAAGACATGCATTAAAATCTACATTTCAGAATTACAACTCTCATTGGAATATGTTGCTTTTAGCAAGGGAGAAACAGGAAACAATATGATATTATCATAATCTTTCTTAAAATACAACAATATTTTGAAATATAATACATTAAAGCAATGACGATATTCTTTTTTGACACTATCTTGCAAATAATTCATTTGTTTTCAAATGCTTTTTATCGATATCATTATGATACCATTGTCGATGCTTTTGTATAGCTTTTGCGAAAAACATAAAATATTTGCAAAACGGACTTGAATTTACAGTGGCAATGGTTCTTTAAATTTGACAACGAAATTCTTTTATTGTTTCGAACGAGACATCGGAGATTCGCGCATTCAAAGGGGTGAGATGTGAAGGGCGATGGCAGTTGCGCTTCAATCGGCGAACGCTCCATGTTATCAGGGAATAGGGGTGATTTTTTTTTAAAGTATACAGCCGATAGAGGTAGTCGGGTACTACCGTAGCTACGTGTGAGTGGCTCGTCTACGAGACTGTAGAAGCTCCGGATGGTGTAGTAGGTGGAACACTAGAGACGGAGGCGGTCCTACCCCTGCTTGGGGGCGTTAAAGAAGTGGATGGGGTTGGCCACCCCCGCGCGTCAACCCTTACACCCCGCTTTCTCCAAAAGCTTCGTGTGCCCCCCCGGATCTCTTCGATCTCATATTCGCCAATCAGCCGACCCATCCCGACTCCTCTACCGACGAAGGTTGCTCGGCGCGGCTATCTGGTTGTCTGGCATCTTCGGTTGACCGTCGATTTCTTCAAAATTCAAAGATCAGCCCGGCGAGCACAGGAGACGGAGCGAAGACAGCAGTTCGCGTGGCCGGGCCGAACGTTGGACGGAACGAACCGCGAGGAACGCTTGTAACAAGTTGCGGCTGCGTGCCTTCCGTTCGCGCGCAGCCGGTTGATCGATTTTGTGTCGTCGGGAAGTGTTTTGTGCGCGATATCACGTCGTCTTGGAGGATATCGCGAGCGCGGTTCTTCCCGGTTGATGACTTCGGCCTGGCTGTCACGCCTTCTTCACGGTCGCGCTGGGGTGATCAGGCCGACACGGGGTAAAGGGTGGTGTTGCGCGTCAATCGTGATATATATTTTGCATCATCCCCGCCACTTTGGCTTCGCCCATTTTCTCACCTCCTCCGTCGGTTCAGACGTACGTGCCGAGTATGCGTTCGGTGTGTTGCACACACATTCATCGGTGCATATACACGGATACGCTGAGTGCAGCGGGAGCCAACACAGCTGCGGCATAACCCCCCCGTTTTCGCGCTTGCTTGGCACGGCACAGCATCCCTCTTTGGCCACTTCCGGCCAGGCCAGGCTCCGCCCACTTTTATATTAATCACGTCTTGGTTCGCTCCTGGCTTCTGTTCTCCATCTTTCTTCCCTAGTGAGCGATTTCCTACCGCGGACGCCTGGGAACCATACCTTTGCCCGTTGGCTTATTCATGTCCCGGGCCTTGCGACGCGGACCTCGACATCTCTTTCTCTTCCTCTGTTTAATATAATACATTAAAGCAATGACGATATTCTTTTTTGACACTATCTTGCAAATAATTCATTTGTTTTCAAATGCTTTTTATCGATATCATTATGATACCATTGTCGATGCTTTTGTATAGCTTTTGCGAAAAACATAAAATATTTGCAAAACGGACTTGAATTTACAGTGGCAATGGTTCTTTAAATTTGACAACGAAATTCTTTTATTGTTTCGAACGAGACATCGGAGATTCGCGCATTCAAAGGGGTGAGATGTGAAGGGCGATGGCAGTTGCGCTTCAATCGGCGAACGCTCCATGTTATCAGGGAATAGGGGTGATTTTTTTTTAAAGTATACAGCCGATAGAGGTAGTCGGGTACTACCGTAGCTACGTGTGAGTGGCTCGTCTACGAGACTGTAGAAGCTCCGGATGGTGTAGTAGGTGGAACACTAGAGACGGAGGCGGTCCTACCCCTGCTTGGGGGCGTTAAAGAAGTGGATGGGGTTGGCCACCCCCGCGCGTCAACCCTTACACCCCGCTTTCTCCAAAAGCTTCGTGTGCCCCCCCGGATCTCTTCGATCTCATATTCGCCAATCAGCCGACCCATCCCGACTCCTCTACCGACGAAGGTTGCTCGGCGCGGCTATCTGGTTGTCTGGCATCTTCGGTTGACCGTCGATTCCTTCAAAATTCAAAGATCAGCCCGGCGAGCACAGGAGACGGAGCGAAGACAGCAGTTCGCGTGGCCGGGCCGAACGTTGGACGGAACGAACCGCGAGGAACGCTTGTAACAAGTTGCGGCTGCGTGCCTTCCGTTCGCGCGCAGCCGGTTGATCGATTTTGTGTCGTCGGGAAGTGTTTTGTGCGCGATATCACGTCGTCTTGGAGGATATCGCGAGCGCGGTTCTTCCCGGTTGATGACTTCGGCCTGGCTGTCACGCCTTCTTCACGGTCGCGCTGGGGTGATCAGGCCGACACGGGGTAAAGGGTGGTGTTGCGCGTCAATCGTGATATATATTTTGCATCATCCCCGCCACTTTGGCTTCGCCCATTTTCTCACCTCCTCCGTCGGTTCAGACGTACGTGCCGAGTATGCGTTCGGTGTGTTGCACACACATTCATCGGTGCATATACACGGATACGCTGAGTGCAGCGGGAGCCAACACAGCTGCGGCATAACCCCCCCGTTTTCGCGCTTGCTTGGCACGGCACAGCATCCCTCTTTGGCCACTTCCGGCCAGGCCAGGCTCCGCCCACTTTTATATTAATCACGTCTTGGTTCGCTCCTGGCTTCTGTTCTCCATCTTTCTTCCCTAGTGAGCGATTTCCTACCGCGGACGCCTGGGAACCACACCTTTGCCCGTTGGCTTATTCATGTCCCGGGC